GGCGCTGGAGTGGTGCTGGCACCCCCCGGCCCCCTCCTTCCCCCGCGCCCTCCTCTCCTGCCGCCCGAGAAGACGCGCAGCGGTTGGGCCCCGCAATTAGTCAAGTAACTATAACAACTAAACATTTAAAATGTCAGCCTCTGCGGTGGGTTGCGTTCAGACATAATTGGAGACAAAGTGGAGGAGCCGTGAGTGCCTCGTTGGAGAAAGTGGAGGGAGGCCGGGCGGGGAGGGGAGGGACCACCGGGGCAGGGGGTTGTGCGCACGTCGGAGGAAAGTGAGGAGGTGAAGGGGACGCGGGAGGGGGTGAGCCCTCGAGGAGGTGAGGGACGGGGCAGGAAGGCTCCTAACCATGCCACCTTAGGAAAGAGGCTTGCCTGTCACCTTCCACATCTCCAAAGCGAGAAAGTGGGCCTGAGTGATCTCCAGGCTTCCCCTGTGTCTGGGGTGGTAAGTCCCTGAGCCAGCTGATTTAGGAATCTGAGGGTGAGAGGAGCTCAGCCCCGGGAATTTCCTGGTGGGTTAAAAGTCCTTGGAGTGAGGAGTCATGGGGTTTTGCACCCTCTCTCCCTCGGCGGAATTCTGGGTCTAATCTACTGTAGGGAATGGAGCCTTGCAGTTGTTGACAGTTGTTAAGGAAATCCAGAGCTTTACCTAATTTAGAATAAAAGGGGTGCTGGACAGCTCACCCCCAAGCAGAGCAGCAGCCCCTTGGCTGGTGTGTTTTAAAGGAGCTTCCTGTGCTTCTTGGACTTGGCAAGAGACCTGCATTCTAGGGGCCTAACTGCAGTGCTCCCTCTCCCCAGAATAACCTCACTGGCCATTTCTTTGTGTGTTTGCCTTGGCCGGAGGGTGGCGGGTACCAGAGAGCTCCATCCAGCTGCGGGGCTCGGAGAGCTCCGAACTAGCCCCTCAGGCAGAGCAGGTAACCAGAAAGCGTAATTTCCTCTCACTCGGGAAGATTATAAGTAATTCAGGAGCAGGCTGGTTACATGGGCTGCCTGTGCCACAGGCTGACGAGCTGACACTCGAGTCAGAACCAGGCGTGGTCGTGATCCCGTGTTGGCCCCTACTCTCCAGGTCTCCAGCGTTCACCCCCCTTGTCCAGAGGCAGCCAAAGGTTTAGAATCCAAGGCTGGGTCAGGCCCCGATAGCCCGTGGAAGTGGCACGATGCCGGTTTCTAAGAATAAAGACTTCGTGCTCCTTGAATTCAAATTGCAGTGGCGCTCCCCAGGTCTCAGCCCCCCTCCCGTCCGTGTCCTGTCTCCCTCCCTCTCCAAATCCAGCAGCCTGAAGCAAACTGACGTGGTTCCTGACTCTGGAAAGGGAAAACCTGAGACGCATTGATTTCAGTGTGCATGGTGTGCGTGTGGGTGTCGGTTACATGGTGGAAATGATTTCAACCAAAATTTAGGAGAATGAGTTCTATCTTAGATCCGTGTCTGCTTTCTTTCCAGCCCCCCGTATTCCATGTATATTTCTTGACCCATTGGGCCATTTGTGTATATTGACACCCCAAATAGGCAACTGGGCGCTTAACAATAGACAGCAATTAAAAAGCCTGCCCACCACCACCACGTCTAGGCTGTGAGATGAAGCCGATGCTGTTTTCTTATTTAGTTACATCCCTCCTTACAGGCAATAATAGTAGCTACTATGTACTGAGTGTCTGCCGTAGGCCAGCTCCAGGCACTCCTAGGACCTGTCAGGTGGACCTCCACCTATTCACCTCCCCCCTCTTCCCACGGGAGGTCTGGGAGCAAAGATGGATGTGGCCAGCCACAAGCACAACATCTTTTTTCAAGTCTCATTGTTTACTTTGAAAATTGATCTTCATTTGTTTCCAAATGAAAAGATTTCAAATTACCAATTAATTTATTTTATATCAGCCACTATCTTTGAGTACATCTGTCACATTTGGAAGATGAAGGATCAATCTGAGTTGTGTGTGTGTGTTTTCATACGTTCAGGCACATGGCCTCTTACTATCCAGGTAGTCCCTCCATCCTCACACTGACCTTTTGCAGATGAGGAAATTGGATCAGAGAGGTTATGAAACTTGCCCAAGATTGCACAGCTGGTAGGTGTTTGAGCTGAGATTTAAGCTGAGTTTGAGACTCTTATGCCCATGTCCTTTTTCTAACTCTAGTGACTGTCATTGGATTGTTTAACTTCGATAATGGTGGATAATGTTTTTATCCAAAGGATAGAAACCTTTCTCTGTATAAATAAAATATTTGGAGTTGGAATTTCTGGTTGGAGTTATAACAACAACAAGAAGATACTATAAAACACACTACATATGCTTTTTTCAAAGAGGAAATTCTATTTCATGTTTTCAAAACTACTTTTTCTGTTTATAAAATGATACAGGTTCATTGCTAAAAAATTAAAAAATACATGGACATATATATAATAGAACAAAGTCACTGCTAATCTTACCATCCAGAAGAGATTGGATGCCTTCTCATCCAGTCATTGTGTGTGTGTGTGTGTGTGTGTGTGTTTCTAAAAATTGCATGTGGATGTTTAGAAGAAGAAAAAAGTGTTCTAATGGGCTTCAGATGTGAAATGATGTCTGTTTCCAGCCGATATGAAATGAACAATGTTAATCTGCAGGAGCCCTCTCACCTCCAGCGTGGTGAAGCCTGTTTGCAGATTGTTTATATAAACACAGATGAAACCATCCTTTGAAAAGATCAGAGATTCATTACCAGTTATTTCAGGTTCTTAACTTTTAAAGTTTTTCAATATGTGGAGTTATGTTTTGAAACTCCAAGTTATGATAGCATACAAATAAAATAAATTCCCAACTACATGTCTTTGGATCCACAGCAGCACTTGTCAGAGAGTTTTAATGGGTCCTGACTGACGCTAACAAGTGCTGATGCTAACAAGTACGTGAGAGGCAGGTTTGCTGAGCGAAAGGTCTTCGTAGCTGAGCCTTCCAGCCAGTTCTGCTCTGTCAGATTCAGCCACTGCAAACCCAGTAAACTACTCAGTTGCTCTAATTATCTATCTGGGGGGGAAATGAGTTTATTGGAAATGGTAGGATGTCTGGAGTTGACAGTGGCCTTTCTTTTAAGGACCCTTCTTTGGCCAGGCCTCACCTGATCCCCACCTTTTGTCCTGGATTCACCCTTGCAGCTGTGCCCTCTGCCATTCTGATCGCCCCTACCCCTCCTCTGTCATTCTCCCGTCTCACTCTCCATTGCCTCACAGCTGTTCTCCAAGGAAGCTCCTTGAGAGCTGTGACCTTTCCTGTTTCACCCTTGTTTCTCCGGAGCCCAGAACAGTGCCTGGCATGTAGAAGGGGCTCAGTCAATACTCATAGAATAATTTCTCTTTCCCTTCTGGCTCGGCACACTTCTGGCTGACGTGGGAACTCATTTCTGATTTGGTTTCTGGCTCCTTCTTAGGGACGGCTCGGGTACCTGCATTTTCTGCTGTACCCTGGCATTTTGAAACCTTGGAAACTGTGGTTGTTACAAAAGCACCTGGCCTTTATCATGGGGCCTAGGGCCTATCTTGATGACAGTGGAGCTGGTCTCCTGCAGAGGCGCAGCCTGGGAGCAGCACTGGCTGTACCTGGGAAAATGCCTTCATTAAGGAACTGCTGTCATGGGAATGGGCTTCTAG